CTACAGGTCCCTAAACGCAGGATAAATACCCCTGGTCAGCTCCATTATTCTTTAGAATTTACAGCCATTTAAATTCTATATGAACATTATTAAATTTTGTTCTTTTCTCTTATGAATCCATTTGATGTTAATTTGTTCATTTGTTTAGTCTTAAAAGAACAATCCAGATGAGGTGAGGTGGAGATATTTCCCCCTGTAGCCCAAGATTTTCATCTTATTTGAATATTAATGAAATAATCAGAACATGCTATGATTATTGAGGAATGTTAAGAGTCAAGGGGGGCTCCCTGGTGACACAGGGGTTAAAGTCTCAGCGCTATCAAGCTATCACCAGCTACTGCACGATGAGTCCAATCCCTGGTGAGGGAGCTAAACCACATGGCACAGCAGACCTCTCCTGTCTCTCCCACTGCTCCCCTCAGAAGTGTATTTCAGCAGATCCGCCTGTTCTGCTCCCTACTCTGTCTCTGGTGAATCCTCTCACTCCCCACATCTCTGGCCTACATCAGTTCTTGGATGCATAAATAAATAAAAATAAATCTTTAATAAATTAAATAAAGAGTCTAAATAAATGTTTGTCTCACCAAATATTGTGTGCCTACTGCATGTCCCAGATACCAATTACATATATTGCATTGAGCAATAATAGGAAGACATTGAAAAAGGGACGCAGGGAGACTGGAGAAGCTCACCCATCAGATTTATTTTAAGGAGACTGAGGTCCAGAGAGCTTGTACTACTCAGGCCATGAAACCGTGTGGAGCAGTATAGAACTCTGGGGTGACAGGCAAAATCAAAACAAGACTGTAAAGATACAGTGCAACCATAGATTGCAGTATATTTTTAAATTGTCCAATTTACGAAATTTCATTATTACCAGGCAAAAAGTTTAAAAACTGCCACTGGGTCACAGTCGCTCTTACCAGTTCTGAGTCCAGCCATCTGCCACCACAAATGACAGCAAAAGGACCTTTGATGTGGCCAAAAAAACCCCAAAAAACAAAAAAAAACCAAATCAGACAAATTTAACCAAGATGGAGAGGGAGAAAGCCCCCAATGTTGGGAGGCTACTCCCCCCTTCCCCAGACCCCCATATATGGGCAGAGGGAGGGGTAAAAGGAGAGAGGCAGGAAGGCCTAATGCTCAGCAGGTCAGTGGCCACCATCTGCAGCAGCTCCAGTGAAAAAGAGTGAGTCCGCCTGCCTCAGCCTTTTAAAGCCTCTTCAAAAAAGACCACTCAGCTCTACCTCCTTCCCAGCAGCCACTTGGCTCAGAATGCTAGGGACAGAGTTCGTAGCACAGCACTACACACTATGTCCAGCATCCCATCTGGACTTCAGCGGGTGGAGTTCAGTGCTGCACTGTGCTTCTTGTTTGCAGGTTCTGGGGTGGGGGTGGTTTGTACCCAGTCTGGAGGGAAGCAGAGTGGTTTGTACCCCGTCTGGAGGCTGTGCTAGCCACTGGTGAATCCTGTCATGTACCCCACCCGCCGCCCCACACCTCTGGTCTACACCCCAGTTCTTGTATGCATAAACAAATAAAAATAAATCTTTTAAAAAAATAAATAAAAAAGAGTGCAGGGATGCAGGGCCATTCCAACAGTTGTTGTAATTTGCATTTAACTAGTTATGTAATATCTATCTTTATAAATTGTATGCTATTAGTTTTCATTGTGGTCTTGGCTTTTATTACTTTCATTAGAAGTTTTATGAGGCAGAAACCTTTACTAAAAGTTAATGTCAGCCAAGAGGTCCTCCCCGGTGGCGCAGCGGTTGAGCGCTGGGTTGCGAAGCTGCCCGCGGCCTCTGCAGCGCCGGTTCGATCCCCGGCTGCTCCCCGGCCACTGGAGGAGGGTCCCACATGGCGCGCAGACCTCTCCTGCCGCCCGCTGCTCCCCTCAGCAGTGTACTTCGGTCCTTCTGCCTGTCTGCTCCCCGCTCTGGCTCTGGTGAATTCTCTCACCCTCCCGCGCTTCTGACTGTACCCAGTGCTTGTATAAACAAAACAAACAAACAAAAAACCAGCAAACAAATAAATAAAGCATGCCTCTATAAAAAAAAAAAAATAATAATGTCAGCCAAGAAACCAGGTAAAATAGACCTGATGAGCCCTACCTGATTGATGCCTTTAACTTTTTGTGGTTTGCATGAAAATTGAGACACGAAGAAAAAAATAGTTAGCAATTTTCAATATTTTAAAGTTTCTAAATTATAAAAATGATGTACTATTAAAGAAAGGGGGAAAAGAAAGGGTAGGTCATTGAATGGAGTCCAGCATACGCCCCTGTGTCTTTTTTTTTTATTTTTATAAAGATTTATTTATTTATACAAGCACTGGGTACAGGTCAGATGTGCGGGAGGGTGAGAGGACTCACCAGAGCCAGAGCGGGGAACAGAACAGGGCAGAAGCACCAAAGTACACTGCTGAGGGGAGCAGCGGGCGGCAGGAGAGGTCTGCGCGCCATGCAGGACCCTCCTCCGGTGGCCGGGGAGCAGCCGGGGATCGAACAGGCGCTGAGGAGGCTGCAGGCAGCTTCCCAGCCCAGCGCTCAACCGCTGCGCCACCGGGGAGGTCCCTGTGTCAATTTTTTTTTTGCACAGATTTTCACAGAAGGCATTTTCATTATTAAAAGAATGCTTGATTGTCATTAAGACCCTTCTCTATGAACAACTAGGGAAGATGGAGTCTTATCACAACATGAGCAGTCTCTACAACACACCTGAACAGACTATCACAAAAACTATCTGTCCCATCTATTCTCCTAAGCGCCCATTTATCTTTCCACAGAGTAATTTGTTTCCCTGTAAGAGTCCTTTCTCTCTTTCCTTCTTAAGTCATTTGTCTTCTGGTAAGTGCTTTTCTCCCTGTCTCCTTCCTTGACTGGGATGGTATATAAGCCTCAAATTTGAAACACTTCTTTGAGTCATTTCTGTGGACTCCTGTATGTATGTTAATAAAAACATATGATTCAATTTTGTATTTTCTCTTGTTAATCTGCCTTTTTGTCAGTTTAATTTACAATGCCTAAGCATTGAACCTAAGAGAGTAAAGAAAATTTCCTCTTACACAGACCTATAAGCTCACCATCATTTAACACAACTGTTTTCAGTTTTGCATATTTTCTTCAACAGCATTTATTTAATATGTAATTAAAATCATACTTGACATTATAATAGAAACAAGCTTCCATAATGCTAATAACCCTCCAAATTATGATTTTCTAATGACTGCAAAGTATTTCATTGAGATGGTACAGAAGTTCCTAGTAGTCTCCTACTATTAGATTGCTTCTCATTTTTTTTAAATCATATATAACTAGCAAAAAAAAAAAATCTTTGGGTATAAAGCTCTTCTCCTTTAATTTATTACTTTTTAAAGATTTATTTATTTATGCATACAAGAGCTGGGGTACAGGCCAGAGGTGCAGGGGGTGAGAGGATTTACCAGAGACCGAGTGGGGAACAGAGCAGGCAGACTGACTGGAATACACTTCTGAGGGGAGCAGCGGGTGAGCCAGGAGAGGTCTGCTGCCCATGTGGGTAGCTCCCTGGGCTGGCTGGGGATCAAACTCGTGCTGCAGAGGCTGTGTGCAGATAGCTTCACAGTGCTCCCTTGCGCCACCAGGGAGGCCCTCTTCTTTTAAAGTTACTTCAGTAGGTTACTTTTATAGAGACTACTAGGTCAGAGAGAATAACTATGTTCTATACGCACACACAGTGCTCAACTGTAGTCCTTAAATGTCCTCTGAAATGATTGCTCCAAGTGGTGTGGCCCTCAGAAAGGGAATGTTGGCTTAAGTATCTATTTCAGGCAGATGATAATTAGTGGTAAAGTAACAGAAAATGCATTACACTCTTTTACAAATTAAATGACTTAAGCCTGAGATGACATCATAAGTATAGGACATGAAAAAAATGTAAAAACCATTTAATGTCTGAACAATGTGCAAACATGGTGAGAATTACTCAGTAGGAGGAATTAAACTAAGTAATTTGAAATTCAGAGAAAGGTCCCTAAGTCTTTTATTTTCCCACTCATGCAACAAAAATACTAGTGGATTAATTTAGCAAGTCATTTGTGGAAACTTGGATGGAATGAGTTTGCTTTAAGTGAAAGGGTCAATTTAAGAGAGTAAGTGTTGATAAAAATTCCATTATCAAACCCTCATTTGGTTTTCATTAGCTTTCATCTGGGGGAAAGGGTGAACTAATAGACAAAAAGCAATTGCTGCTCAGTTATCTGACCACCAAAGGAACAATTGAGTAGCTGAACCTTTTTTCTCAGCTACTTCCCTGCATGTCATTTATTCTTCACTAGCAGAGCCCAGGTGCCAATTATTCTAACAGGCAATTGATTATGAGATGAAAAAAAAAAAAAATGCAGTAACAACAAATAAATGTGAGTGTCTTTAAGAAGCACAAGTTGTTCATCTTAAAAAGAGAGGAAAAAACCCAAATCACATTACTGTTCAATTTAGAACTTTCTTTCCACCTTGTAAGAGGGTAAAATCAATTTTCACTTGAGTACCATTTCCTCCTGCTAGTTTTCTCTACAGTGAGCTGTCCGCAAATGATGTTTGACTATTTCTGGGTCACAACTTAACATCCACATTTGGGAGCTGTAATGATTTAGGTAAAAGCTGGGGAAAATCACAGAAAGTTCTTCTTTGTGCCTTTCCACCCCTTCCCCCAGCACCAACTCCAAAGTGTTTCAGAGTTAATCAGCAGCTGTGTTTCCGAACGCCGGCCTCAGTTTCCCTCAGCCAATAAAAGGAAACTGAGTACCAAAAACTCTCTTCTGGTCTTCCCTACAAACTCTGACAGGACCAAAGATAGAAATCTGCACACAGGGCTTTCCCTAAACTATAAGAAGAACATTTCCTTTTTTGCCAGCTGGTAGTTAGTCAAAATACTGTTTTGTAAAGGAATCATCTGCAGAAGCCCTCATCAGTTCTGCTGCAGAAGTGTCAGTTTTAGGAAAACAAACAAGCAAGCACTTACCAGTTAGGTGTCTGTGAGAAGGGCAGCTATTGTGATGCCTGGGTATAACCTCCGGGCTCCAGAAGAAATGGAGGGTGATTTTCAGCTGCTACGTTGTACACTTTTTCCCCAGCCTCCTCATTTGGCTTTTGTCTGGCTTTCGAAATGACACTGTAGAGAATGATGGGTTTCGAATGTGGTTTTCCCTTCCTCCACCACCCTCCCTAAAACTTCATCATGAATTCCAGGAGAAAAGGAAGCAATGAACATACTGTACAAATTAATTCTTTTGCTCAGCGATATGTGTGTGTAACCGGGGTTTGCTTTTGGAATGGAAGTCACTGCTATTGGCTGCCATGCCGCTGGCTGGAAAGCAGAATGTGGGGAGGCACCAATCCTCCCTTTGTCTGGGAAGGCTTTTGCTTATGAAAAGTCAAGTTAAATTAGCACCCGTGGAAAGAAAAGCAGCTTATCATGTAGTGGAGAGCTCTTGAAATGCGCAACCAGCTATAGGGCTCTTTAGGAGAAACTTTATTTACTGGGTTTCAGTGTATTTCTGGTAGTGAGGGATTAGAAAATCATGTTAGTTAAAGTATGTGCCGGGATAACATTTAATAGAGTTAAAACTCAGTCTCTGACTTTGCTCAACTTTACTTCTTGGGTTTCAGTGTATTTCTGATAGTGAGAAATTACAATCTCATATCAAAGTATGTATTTTAGTTTGTATTTCTTGAGTAAGAGAGGTTGAGAGAGTACTTTCCAGGCTCCCAGGAAATTAGAGGTTTGATTTTTATCCCGCATCTCCCTGGTGGCCCTGGCAGGTGGGGGCACATCTTTGTACCTGAGGCAGGACTCACTGTTCACAAATACACCAGATTAAGTGTGGAGGTTGACGGTAATAAGCAAGCCTTGATGTGGTTAACCTGACATTGCAGAGCTGACTTGATTTTTGTAAAGTCTAACTTCGACATGACTTTGTGTGATACTGGCGATTGAATATTATTGAGCTGATTGAATGTTGAGGTGAGCTACACAAATGTTAGGTGAGCTGCCAGACCAGCAGAGGATCTCGATTTGTCTTCTGTGAACAATTGAAGAGTAATGGAAGGTGCCACCCTCAAAAATGACTCTTTGGCATAAGGGTTATTTTGAACTGATTATTTTTTAAAAACTTCAGACACCAATGCTAAAAACAGTGTCCATGTTTCCCCTTTGTAAGGGCAATGTACATTTATAAAGGAAATTTACTCTCAAGGGGAGACTACCAGGAAGAAGGAGCTATTAAATAAGCTTGAATTTTCATCTAAGAGATTCACCAACCTGGCTGAGCAAACTTTGTTTGCTAAATATTTCCTCTTTTCTCCTTCCTCTCCTTTGAAGCCCCAGGCCCCTCTCCCTTCCCTTAGCCCACGATTGCATGCAAGCCTGACTCATCTGGCTGCCTTTGAGTCACAAAACTGTGGAGTTCTACACAAATGTAATTATAGTGTTTTTTTTTTTTCTTCTCCTGTTTATCTGTCTTTCATACAGGGAGTCTCAGCAAAAGAACAATGAAGAATAGAAGGAAAATAATTTTTCCTCCTCAATTAGACCAAATCCAGGAAATCTAAAGCAGTAAATCTCACTCTGAGGAGGCGATAGGAGCAAATCAGTATGACTCTGGGGGTGGGGTGGGCACTCTCTCACAAATTGCAGGATTCATTAACCCATAGGATGCACATTCTCCCATATTTTCCCCAATCCTTTGATTCTATATAAATAGCTGCTATTACTAAGCTCACTGTGTCCAGTCACCACTTCCCACTCCTCTGCATCACCAATATTGGTAATTACAATTAGCTCTAATCTGTTTTGCCATCACACAAAAGCACTGTTTCATACGCAAAAAGCATTTTGAAAATGCCCAGGGGTTTGTACTTTATGTGGGTTTACTTTCTGGTGATAGAACAGACAGCATTGAGTAGCAAAGGGTAGAAAAGAAAACGACAAAAAATGACATTTAGCAAGTATTTACTACTGGCAAGCATCATTTAACTGAAACCCAGGATATTTTATTTTTATTTTCACATTTTAGCTGCAAACTAAAACAACAGAGTTGAAATATAAAACAACAGACTTGAAATACCTAGCTTTGAATGTAGTCCAAGGAAATCAGAACACTAATTATAATCTCTCTGCGAAGTGGCCCTGTATTTTGATGTGCGCTAAGAGATGCTCCTCTTTGATATTTTAAAACATGCCTTAGAGCTGATCCATTACTCAAAAGTAATAGAGGCTGAAATGCTCAGATGTACTGGAGATCACTTACCCACCCCCACTCTCAGCATACAATGGGTGCAATGATCTTCTGCCAGGGCCAGTGAGCGAGTTCAGTGGAGATCTGTTAAGAGAGCCTCTACAGTAAGTTGGAGAATTGCTTTATCCCAGGCATTCTGACTCCAAACAGCACCCTCTTTAGAGACTTCACCATTAGACTAACGGTCTCTCTATAAGAAGAGATGTTTCCAGAGGGCAGTGAATGAGAGGAAGGGGCAGGCATAATTGCTGAGGGGCAGCTTAACTCAGAAGAGAAGAAACACAGTGTTCCTACCATATTATTTTGGGGAACAGGCTTTCCCTTTTTTTAAAAATAGCTTTACTCCACTGACGCTTGAAAGGTCACTACTAGGAGAGTGTTCTTAGAAGCGAGTACATTTTAAAAGAGGAGCTTTGTGCTGATCTAAAGAAGCTCTAAGGATTAGAATGAACTGGGCAATTCTAAGTGGGTCACACCCCTTCCTCTCACCAAAAACACCAGGATAAGCAACTTGGTCTCTTACCTTTTGAATGATCAAGAATATTGTTAGTCTTTTCCTTTCTTTTTTTTTTTTTTTTTTTTTAATTTTATTTTTTAATTTTTTTTTTTTAATAGAGGCATGTTTTATTTTATTTATTTATTTGTTTGTTTGTTTTTGTTTTGTTTATACATGCACTGGGTACAGTCAGAAGCGCGGGAGGGTGAGAGAATTCACCAGAGCCAGAGCGGGGAGCAGAGCAGGCAGAAGGACCGAAGTACACTGCTGAGGGGAGCAGCGGGCGGCAGGAGAGGTCTGCGCGCCATGTGGGACCCTCCTCTGGTGGCCGGGGAGCAGCCGGGGATCGAACCTGCTCTGCAGAGGCTGCGGGCAGCTTCGCAACCCAGCGCTCAACAGCTGCGCCACGGGGGAGGCCCTAGTCTTTTCCTTTCTTGTGTGAGGTTAAAGTCACCACACTGCGCCAAACTGTAAATATTCTAATGATAGAAGTCTCAGAAATGGGTATTTGGGACATTACAATCAGGTCAACTTGATTTTGTTAATAATAAATTTTGTTATTGTTTGTGGAAAAAAAAAAATCCAGGGGTCTTCCTGGTGGTGCAAGGGGTTAAGCACAGCACTGTGACTGCCATATGCAGCCTCTGCAGCACAAAGTTTGATCCCCGGCCAGCCAGGGAGCTGCCCACATGGTGCAGCAGACCTCTCCTATCTTGCCCGCTGCTCCCCTCAGCAGTGTATTTCAGTCAGTCTGCCTGTTCTGTTCCCCACTCTGTCTCTGGTGAATCCTCTCACCCCCACACCTCTGGCCTGTACCCCAGTTCTTGTATGCATAAATAAATAAATCTTTAAAAAAATACACAAAGCTCTAATTAACTGCAGAAATATGGAGAGCTGCTCCCATTGTTAACTGATTTGAATTAAACTTCTCTTTCCAAATGCCAAATGATAATTAAATGAGACCTTTAGACAATGCTGTAGAGTGGCTTCTTAAGGACAAATATACCATCTATTTTTTTAACTCCAAAAATGTAGTGTTGGACTCTTTTGGGTTTTGGGGGGGCAAAGCAAACACTTTCCTGTAGGCAGGTATCTGTGCAGAGCAGCTATGGGTGAGATGCAGGCAAAGGTTCTGGGGCTCTGTACTTGAGTCATTATGGCTTAATAATTTCTCTGGGAAATAATTTCTCAGTTTTCCTGAGTTTTGGAAGAAGCAGTCCCTCTTTTTGTTACCAAGGGAGGTAAATAATCTATTAATTTACTGCCCTGCAAATAGGAAAGTGGTGTGCCAGTGGTTAAATAAATCTTTGTGTATTACTAGTTGACAGGCATTTGGGTGATATCATCCTTGGCCCTGATTCAGGAAGGATTAGGCCAGCCCCAACTATCCACCCTAATTATGCTACATTTCCACTCTAATTGTGCTACATTTCTTGTTAAGTTACAGATTATGGATATGATGTAAGTGTAGCTGGATTTTTCTAATGTGTCAAATTTTGGGAAAGGAAAATTGTTGGAGAATAAAGTGTATTTTCTTGGACTTCTTTGGTTCTTTACCTTTTTTTGTTAGAACGGATGGTAGCCTGGGAGCTACATTGCCGCTGAAGTTGTATTTTGAATTACAGAATTTTCTAGAGTGTGAATTTATTTTCAGCATTTAAATATGAGAACTTGAGGCCTCTCTGGTGGCGCAAGTGTTAAGACGCAGCATGTAAAGCTGTCCGCAACCTCTGCAGCATGAGTTCGATCCCTGGCCGGCCAGGGAGCTACCCACATGGCACAGCAGACCTCTCCCGTCTTGCCTGCTGCTCCCCTCAGCAGTGTACTTTGGTCAATATGTTCTGTTCCCCACTCTGTCTCTGGTGAATCCTCTCATCCCCCCACACCTCTGGTCTGTACCCCAGCTCTTGTATGCATAATAAATAAATCTATTAAAAAATGAGAACTTATACAGCTCCAGATGGCAGGCGCCTCAGGAAGAACTTGCCAGGTGTGGGTAACACTGGGCTTGCTTCCCCACACGGACCCAGTCAGAGCAAGTTGAGTGGTGACCTCTCCCAGAACCCCTACTCCTTTGGGGGGCACTGCCTTCTGGTTCCACATCTTTCTCCCCTATTCTCCCCAGTCATGGACAGGATCCTTCCAGACACTCCAAGAATTTGCACTTTTGACTCATGTCTCTAAATTTTTCCTGTTGAGTTTCTTCAATATAGAAAAATTGAGAACACAGAGAAGTAAGTCATTGAGCAATCATTTTTTTTAAATTATTTTTATTTATTTATGCATACAAGAACCTGGGGTGTAGGCCAGAGGTGCAGAGGGTGAGAGCATTCACCAGAGACAGAGTGGGGAGCAGAGCAGGCAGATTGACTGAAATACACTGCTGAGGGGAGCACCGGGTGAGGCAGGAGAGGTCTGCTGTGCCATGTGGGTCAGCTCCCTGGCTGGGGATCCAACTCATGCTGCAATGGCTGGCAATAGCTTGATTGCTCTGAGACTTTAATCCCTGTGCCACCAGGG